GAAGCATCTGCTCCATTTTCCAGCTGCTTTGCCACGTGTATCAACCACCAAGAGATTAGCAAAACCTAAAAACAGTTATAATTAGGACCATTAAATTTTATTTTTCCACTCTCTTGTTTTTCCTGGCTCAACAGCAGCAGTGGAAAACCTGATTTAATCTTTTTAGAAGGTGTCTTAAAAACATCAACTCTTGGAATAGCCGCAGTTATTATACCACCAGACTTCCCTCAAGATACGTAGAACGGCTTGCCAGATTCCGTGCGTTGAATGTAAACATTTCCTCAGCTCTAATTCTTATTTTAGCAGTAACTTCCTACTGCCTTTTGCTAAACTTATTAGCTGTTAATAAAGACACACACATACCCTTCTAAAATAAGATAGGTCATTTTTATGAATGAACTTTTAGGACAGGCCTACTAAAGTATTTCCATTGGTTCCTTTGCATTCCTTCCATTGTTTCCTGGTTATCATGTTTGTTTTCTCTTCAGTATTTCACCGAATTGAAAACCGCTGGCTTAGTTTATCTGCCACTCAACAACCATAAGAAGATGGCCAATTCTCTAACAGCTAATCATGAGACTGTTTTGATGGACCATTATTCGTAGATCTTTTTTTCCAACATCCAAACATATCTACATAAAGAACACCCTACTGAGAAGACAGTTACTTTCAAACTGTGATTTGGGAAGCCATAAGATTACTTGGAATCTCAGGGGCTCCTTCAGTGAGGAGGCCAATGCCAGTGGACAAGTTTCTGTGCAAAGGTATCTTGCTCACGGCAGCCATTGGAGAGCACTGGGACTTTTAGGTCGCACTCAGCAGCACGCAAGACCCCAAAAGGCGACCAATTCCCCACACAAACTGAGTGGAGCATCCTACGGCAGACCGTCAGGATTTTTCAGAGTAAGTTAATGAACAATTTCCTGACATCTTAAAACCCTTGAACCACGGGTATTGTACATTGAGGATTTTCTATGAGATTACCCTGCTACCCCAGTATTGATTTAGGAATACTTGAATGGAGTCCATGCTACAGTGTGTGTGTGTGTGTGTACGCATGTTCGGGCTATATGTGTCCTGCATCTCTTGTACATATTTTACACAAAAAAGTACAATTATAATCATTTATTATTTATTTGCCACCCATATGACTGGGTTACCCCAGCCACTCTGGGCGACTTCCAACAAATTAAAACACAATGAAGAGGGGAGAGTGTCGGAATAACTTTCCACCCAAGGAAAAGTGTCATGGAGTTAATATTGTTTCCTATCCTATATATATCTGTACACTGCCTTGTTATTGTTTAATGAGCTGGGGCTTTTATAAATATAAATAAAATAGCTTGACCCTGACTATTCAAGACTACTGTTGTCTAATGACTTTCTGACATCAGTGTTAGGGCTATACATAGCAGTACATCTCATCTTGACTATCCAGTCCCAATCCAGATTTGCACAGGTAAAAACCACTGAGGACCAAAGGAAGTAAAATAGTAATCCTGCATTGAAAATCTAATACCTCAGAATATATTTACTGTGGACAGTCAGTCATGTTAGCTTATTGCAGTCCAAAAAATGGAAAAGAAAAGATAAAGAGTTCTGTGGCACCGTGAAAAGTAATGTACATTCTTTCTGTCTGCAAAAACATTAAATAAAGAGTGTTGGTTATAAATGCACATGGATGGAAGTACAACAGGTAAAGGTGGCAAATCTGGCAATAGGCCAAATCTTATGGTTATCATTATTATTATTAATTTATACCCCGCCTTTTTACTCAAGGCAGCTTCCAAGTGGCTTGAGATGGTGACACAAACACAAGTGAAACTAAGGCTTTCCACTCAACAATCACCACGTTTTTCTTCTTGCTTTTATTATGCATTTTGTGTTTTCGGTCTTGTATTTTCATGTCATGAACCGCCCTGAGATCTATGGATTAGGGGCAGTATACAAATTTAATAAATGCATAAACAATCCCTCTTCCTTTTCAATAGTGGCAAGCATCTGCTTGAAAACAGCATCTTGAAATGAGGTCAAATTCTCCAAAAGACCCCAAACAAATGGCTGGATCCTCAAAGCCTTTGTTTTTCAAAAAGCAACCATGAAAAGCATTTTCCTATGAGGAAAGGTTGAAGGTGCTGTGCATACTTAGCCTGGAGGATGGATAATTAAGAGACAACACGATAGGCATCTACAAATATTTGAAGGGGTGTGACATTAATGATGGGGCCCATTTATTCTATGTCACTCTAGAAAGTAGATCTCAAATAAAGATAAGGAACAACTTCCAGAAAGTATGAGCTGTCCAACGCTTAGACAGAACACCTGGGGAGGTGGTTGACTCCCCGATATTTTTTCTGGCAGGGGGGGTTCTGTAGGAATTGAGTTACTATACTGACAAAGTGTGTCTACTTTAATGTATTTTTCAAATCAGGCAAAGCCCTATTTATTCTCACAAGCTTTTCAAATGGCTAAGTTATTTGGTGTTGTACAGTCGTCGTTTTATCATCTGGTTGTATTATGTGTGGCTTGGTATGATTTATTTTATTCTAGTTTTAGGTTTCCTTTCTGTCAGTTACATTGTTTCTGTCCTGCACTGCTTTACTGAATTGTATTCTTTAAATCAATGTATGATTTTAAGTGGCGTTTTTAAACAAATATGTACCGTATACCATCCAGAGAATTGAGTGTGTATTGGGTGACTACTATTAAAGAACCAACAGACATGTTTATATTTTTATTTGAAACTTCTATTGAGCTGTGTTTGGCTCTCCTGACACAAGTTAGGTTTGCTGCCTAATGTTTTGGGTTTTTCCCTCCATCTCTACAAACAGGCAAATTTTAAACATGGGGTAAATACACCTACCACCTTCTCAGCCCAGTTCATGTCTCTTACATTGGTCTTGCCTATGCCTCTGAAAGTTCAGGCCAAAGTTAACTAGTCCAAATCAGCATTTTTTAAAAAGCTACCGTTAAAACAGTGGCAGCCTAGACAACACTACTTTGAGAAAATATTGTCCATGCTTGAACATATGCAAGTTTGCCTTCACCTGCTCAGGATGAGGTAGCAACCATGAAGAACAAATGACACCCTGTTTCACTACTGCTTCCAATGTTCTCATTATGACCTCATGAACTGCCTTTGTACAGTGATGTAATGGAATGCTGCACAAATTATTGACTGGTTTCATTTATTTATGTGCTGCCTCCCCACAGTTAGCAGTGCCCAAAGCGGCTTACAACAAGCACCCACTTGAACCAAAATACAAAACAGGTTAGGGGGAGCATTGTGGCGCAGTGGGTCAGTGCATCTGGCTGTTAACGAGAAGGTTGATGGTTTGAGCCCACCTGAGCGACAGCTGTGGGCAGGATCCCAACCCTCAGGGTCTGTTCCGACTCTATAATTCTAACTGGACAAAAATAAACAATTCAGCATACATGGAATGAATTCACTATTATGAAAAAAATAATCTAGACCCAAATACAAAGCAGAAAAAGTCAACAGTAGACAAAGTTCTTGGTGCTGGTCTCTTCAGCAGCCCAGTTTCAATATAGTTCAGAGGGGAAGAGGTCTTCTCACCAGGTTAGGTGATTTGCAGCCTCTCCCCAGCCCCCTGGACTTTCCAGCTGCTGGTGCTGGTCTTACTGCTATTAGTTTTGACAGCTGTGGCTGTGATGCATGAGAAAAGAGACTCTACAGCCAAAAGTAAAAGCACATCACCTACACCACTGACAATAAAATGAACAGTTCCACTGCTAAGTACTTTCCAACAATAAAAATATTTTGAAAAAATAGTATTTTTCAAAAATACTAGATGAGTTGGTCACTTGTTACATAAGGTCTCCAAGTAACTTAAAGCATATTTTGAAGCATAAAGCTAACATTATAATAATATATATTTGCACACGCAATTCTTTTTGAAAAAACCACACAATTCCAAATAACAGCAGCAGAAAGCTAACGACAAAAGCTGCACCAGTTTTAAGTGGTTAAAAGAACAACACTCTTCAGTTACCCCACTCATCAGCTACTGAAAATGCAGCAGTTTAATTTCTGCTGTAAAAGCAGAAATTTAAACAACCCTGTTAAGTTGAAGAAGCAACCACTGTAATGTCTTACGCTGGAATCCTAAGCACCCCTTTCATCAGTCAATCCGACTGAACGCAGTAGTATTTACTTCCAAGTAAGCATGCCTAGGATTACATGGGTTTTTCTCAATTCAGATCAAAGCTAGTCTGGGGGGAAATGCATCAAAACACAGTATTTCCTAATAAACAACAGAATAAAGAATTGTGGCTTACATTCTCTCTCTCTCTCTCTCTCTCTCTCTCTCTCTCTCTCTGTGTGTGTGTGTGTGTGTGTGTGTGTTTTTACACCGCTTCCCAAACCAGCCTAGGTCAGAGCACAGGGAACCTTTGGTCATCCAGGTGTTGTTAAGCTCCATTCCCATCAGCACTAACCAGCACAGTCAATAGTTTGAAATGCTGTGAGTTCAGACTCCAGAAACATCTGGAGCGCCAAAAGCTCTGCAGCCCTAGGTAGAAGTCCTTTAGTACTTGGACGGCATGAGATACCCAACCAACAAGTCTGCCAAGGAGTGATACATGCTTCTCTGCCATGTCACTGCAAATCTCAGACTTGGGGGATCTGTCTATGCTCAGTAAGGAGTGGAACCTGCACTCTGTACATGTCTAAATGAAATCTCTCACTGCAACACATGTTCCACTAGCACCGAAAACTACTTCTTGGGAGGAATTCTTCAAACCCCTACCCTGAATAAACAAATATGCTTTTTTTAAAAGGAAAAAAAATCCTTCTTCTGCTTTATATTCTTTCCCCTGCAAATCTCTTTTCCCCAGAGACTACCCTCCCTCGACACCATCGCAAGGGGGCGTAACACTGGACGCCAAGCAGATACATCCCTGCAGCGAAGGCCCGGATCCGACAACAAACCGTGCTCCTGAGCGTGTGCAGAGTCCTTTCGCTCGGGGCAGGATCTCACCTCGTCGCCGAAGTGCACCACCTTCTGGCCGGTGTTGAGGCGCAGGTTCGGGTAGCAGACCGGCGGCGGGGGTCCCCGGGCGACCCCTCGGTGCGCCGCGTAGCGGGCCTGGATGTGGGGCTCCACCAGGGTCTGGTCGATGATCTCGTCCTGCTGGCGGGGCGGCAGGCGCTCCCACTCGGGCCCGTAGCGCTCGCGGATGCGCTCCTTCTCCGCCATGATCTTGCGCGCCATGGGGTTGAGCGACGAGAAGTAGCTGAAGCGCTTGCGCTCCCGCTCGTCCAGCGGCCGGTTGCCGTTCAGGGCCGCCGTGCGGGAAGCGGCGATCGCCGCCGCCATCGAAGCCATCGCCGCCCCCCGGGGCCCTGGCGCGCGCTCGGACGCCGGCGTGGAGCGCAGCCGAGCCGGGAGCACAAAACAACTCGGCCGCCCGCCGCCGCGCCCTCCTTCTCCTCGGCTCCGCTCACAGCTCCGCTTTCCGCCTCCCGGAAGCCTTTGGCTCCGCCCCCTGCTCTTAGGACCGCCTCCCGGGCATCCTCCCCTTAAAAACAAACACACAAAAGACACACACACACATGCACACGAGCCCGGGACTTGGCATTGATGTTGCTGCCAACGCGGGCCGCGTGGGTGTTGTGCCGCGTAAAGAGCCAGGAGCCCTTTCCAAAGCAGCGCGCCTTGCCATTCACAGCACAAAATTGCGCGTAGCAAACGTATACGGGGGGCGGTGCTCCCAATCAGACGAACTAAGCGAGTGTAGTGGACGGGTTGCATCTAACACCCTGCCGGATTTAGTCTGGATCCACCTCGCCCAAGAGGGATGGTGTTACTCGCTTGGAAGGCGAGGAATGGCGAGAACTGGGGAAGCACCAAAGGATGAAAGCTCAAGTTTGGGGAGTGGAGGTGGGAGTCGGATTTACGTATAAACTAAACAAGCTATAGCTTAGGGACCCACTCTCTTGGGGCCCCCAAAAAAATTTAAAGGGGAAAAACCCCCAGGATGTACGTTTCCAAAATATAAGATTAAAAAACAAATAAAATAAAACCTACATACAGCAATAGTGTTTTGTGTTGTGTATAATAAATAATAATAATAATAATAATAATAATAACAATAATATTTTATTTATATCCTGCCCTCCCCAGCCGAAGCCGGGCTCAGAGCAGCTAACAATAAAAGTAACACAATTTACATAAATGGACCTATTAGGTCCATAAATTACCATATAGCATATATTCAACACAAAAAACAGCAACATTTTGTTGTTGACAAAGGACAGCTGGACATATAAAGGGCCCCATTACCTTCAGTAGCTTAGGGCCTCATCAAACCTATATCCAGCCCTGGGAGTGGAGGTGGAATGGTGTGTAGTTGGAAAGACTGGGCAGAGACAGGAGAGTGGAATGAGCGAGGCCAAGAGGCAGAGATGAGTCAGACTGCTGAAGAAGCATAGGTGTCTCCCTGCCATCATCACTGTTCCCAGAACCAGAAGAAGTATGAAGTGGGAGGAGCCAAGACAAACCTACAGGCTCAATTTCCGATTGCTTGGGGAAAGCCCTGGAGAGGAGACGACATAGATGGCTGTAGGGAGGTGAGGATCTTTACTCTTGGTAACTTTCATGGCAAAACACACAGGAAATGAGCTGCTGACTGACAGCCAAGTCTGTGACTATAGTGTTTTGGCTAATAAAGAGTTAACACCAACTTTGAACTGTGTAAATTACTGTCCGGGTAGCTCTGTGACAGATGCAAGGCAAGGCGGTACCAGGAAGACATAGGGCACCTTTGGTGGTCCCAGACACTCCATCCTCCCTTCTGCGTTTGGGCCTGAAAGACCAAGGGAGAGGGTGTGCGTGTGAAGGGTAAGATGGAAGCAAGTGTAATTGATGACAGTGTACAGCAGCATTGCTGATCTTGGGGCATGGGGGTTAAGGCTTCCTAGTTTTGTGGGGCTTGAATGGACTTAACTCTGGTGGGTTTTTGGTATCTGAACCAAAACTTTAGTCAAGCATATTTGAAATTATTGTATTGTCAGGCAATATGAGTAACCAGATGCTTTATGAATAAATTACCAAGTAATCCTATAGTCTATACTAATTTAGTAATTTAATATATTCATCCTTGATGTTTGTGAGGGAGAGACGTCCTGACACACTCAAGCAACCATCAGGCCCCACCTGAACTATACATTTAAAGCAGTATCATACCACTTTAAACAGTCTGGGAGTTGCTAAGGGTGTGGTAGTAGAAAAGTTATGAGCACCTTCAACAAGAAAGCAGCAGGTAAAAGATTCATCAGTCAGTGATGCATTTGATGAAACTGGATATAATCCCTGAAGGAGTTTGTGGCTAAAACTCTTCCCAAGGACTCTAGATTTGGACATGATTGAAAAAGATGCTCCATTTTCTGTTATATCTTATACTTATTTTCCCACCATACTGTTTGTTCCCTCATACAGTGGTACCTTGGTTTATGACCATAATCCATTCTGGAGGTCCGTTCGTAAACCAGAACAGGTCGTAACCCAGGGTGCGCTTTGACCAATAGGGCCTCCAAAAAACCCCCAGTCATAATCCAAAATAATTCATTTGTAAACCAAACCAGAGTTTGAAAGGCCAAGGATTGTGGTCAAATTGCCCAGCAAGGCATTTGCATCTTCTTCCTGAGCTAGTCCCAGAATTACGCTAAAATGTTTGTGCTCATTCTGAGCAAGTGCCAGGTATTTTGTTCCAGTACATAAATCTTAGTATAACAGTATACTAAGACTTCTTTATTACCAGACCTTTATTACTACACCTGCTGACTAATGGGTAGAGAGAACCAACCAAACTGGTCTAACAAAGCAAACTGGGTATATTATGACAAATGAAATGGTGTCAGAAGACTTGGAAAAAAACAATTACTTGCCAAAGATCCTTCTGCAGCCTGAATCTGATTGCCTGGCTCCATCTCAGTTGGGTTTCAAACCTGGTTTTGGAACACACAGCTTTGCTGTGAGAAAGATAGGGAGTGTAATCCTGATGATGCTCTTGGACCTTTTGATGCCAACCATAGTATCCTTCTGGATAGGATGTCCAAGCTGGGTGTTGGAGGTACTGTTTTGCAATGGTTCCTTTCTTACCTAGAGGCCACTTCCAAAAGGGGGTGTGGTGGTTACACTTTTGTCACACAGGGTTTCATATCCATGCTATTTACGGTAACATCTACATGAAATCACTGGGAGAGGTGTCACTAATATGCAGGTGACATTCAGCACTTTCATCAAATACAGGAGAGGAAGTGGATCAGTGCCTGTATGCAGTAATTGACAGAAAGAGGGCTAATAAGCCATGCCTGCCTTTTATAGATATTTAGACTTTACATCCAAGTAATAAAATGGGCTTTTGTGCCAACCTATTAAATCATTCTTTTGGGTGACTGTGTGAAATTTAAACCGGTGCAGGGAACAGGCTAAAATTACGCTTCAGTGCATACAATGTGTGGCAGATGTATGTGCGATATTCAACTAAATTTTACTCAGAGTAGACCAAATGAAATAAACAAGTCAAGTTCAGTAATTGGGGTCTACTTCTGAGTAAATCTTAGTTGAGCAGCACCCTGTGTTGCTACTTTTGCCTTCTGGCAACTGGTTCTTCACTGAAATCAGCTGTATTTCTTCTGGATATATCCAATAATTCTCAGTTATAGAAAAGGATTTTGTTTTCTGTTGGGTTCCTAAAAGGAAGTGATTCAATTATTTAGAATCCACAAAAATAATCAGGAACAAAGGACTTGCACCATCAACAACATACAAAAAAAGTGGCCACTGCTCTTTATTGAAGTAAGTTACACAGCAACTAAAGCCTTTTCAGGCAATGAGCTGAATCTGTACTTAATGCTTCAATCATGGTTCTTAATGTTGGAAAGTATTCTGATACCAGTGGAAGACTCTTGTAAGAAGGCGAAATGCTGGAAAAGGAAAATGCAAATATTAATAGAAACATAGTCCATGACTTAAGTTTGAAATAAACCTGATATTTTGCATTTTTGCTTAAGTGCTCCAAAAATGCTAATTTAATTCAGCTGGAACTTTATTGCTCAAGTTTTTGGGTAAGTGACTACCTATGCATTTTGTCTTCAAAATGTTTTAGCATTAAAATACCAAAATTCACAATAGTATGGTTTCAGACATTTAACACCATATATTGTAGAACTGTTAAGTAGATTGCGATGATAACTATCAATGAAGGTAGCTAATTATCAACATGGTTCTAATCCAGAAAACCACAAAGAAATTTAATGTATTAGGCTATTTTCCCCTTCTGCTCGAGAGTAAAATGCCACACATGCAGACCTCTATGGTGTGCCAAAGTCAAATAGTTCTTTCTAGTTTGGGTCTATTGCTTCATGTAACTTTAAAGGTACCCCTGCCCGTACGGGCCAGTCGTGTCCGACTCTAGGGTTGTGCGCCCATCTCACTTAAGAGGCCGGGGGCCAGCGCTGTCCGGAGACCCTTCTGGGTCATGTGGCCAGCGTGACAAAGCTGCTCTGGCGAGCCAGCACCAACGCAGCACACGGAAACGCCGTTTACCTTCCCGCTATAAAGCGGTACCTATTTATCTACTTGCACTTAGGGGTGCTTTCGAACTACTAGGTGGGCAGGAGCTGGGACCGGACGACGGGAGCTCACCCCGCCGTGGGTATTCGAACCGCCGACCATACGATTGGCAAGTCCTAGGCGCTGAGGTTTTACCCACAGCGCCACCCGTGTCCCTCTTCATGTAACTTTAGTGCTACTTAAATTATAATAGGAACCAGGCCTTGTAGATGTGGTGGTTTAAGTTTAACAAGAATGACATTGTTATCACAAACTATATTTGAGTAGTGTCACAAGCAGCAGCCATAGATATATGGGCAGAGGGTGAAATGCAATAGCTGCCATAAGTTGGAATTTGTGAAAGCACTCTTCTGTTAACTCAACTTTTCAAAGTAACAAAGACTGCCTTTCTAAGCAAAGCTGGGTCTTTTTTCTTTTTTTCAGGACATGCAAAACCTTGAGCCAACATTAACAATTTTACCTTTTTAGATTCAGCCAATCTTTTGCCACTTTACTGAAGGCCTCTGATCCAGCTGCTGTCATAGCTTCAAAATCAATCAGCTGGAACACACATTAAATATAAACAACTAAATGCAAAAATAAGTGCACTGTCAGAACATACTCTCACATTTAGCACCATCAAAAAGGTATTTGTAATGGAAGTTGGAAGACAAGAAGAGCTGAACTGTATGCTTTGGATTTGTTTGCTTTAAATATGCTATTTTAGCAGTTGTGGTACAACAATGAAAGGCTGAAGTTGCTAGTATGATTTCAAGGGGGGGGAGATTTAAAATTTAAAGAAAACCACCATCACAAGAGACTAGATGAGTGTGGTATAAATAATAAAGAATTATTATTATTATTATTATTATTATTATTATTATTATTATTATTATTAGTGATGATGATTCCTGTTGCAAGACACAAAGTTCCAGACTATTTTGAAGCAAAAAATGTGAAAAACTTCTTTTGATCATAAAGAGAAGTTACTATTGTCCTAATCACATGAAAACTTTCATCTCATTTACAACACACTCCATCACTTCTAGCATCTGCCAAGAACAATAAC